ATGCCTGAAGGGCTACTGACCGCGGATCATCCATCTCCCCGTCGGTTTTTCCGGTTTTTCTCCTGGTTGTCATCCCTGTGGGACTCCGATGCATCCCACCGCTGTCACCAAATTTACCAATACCAAACCAAATTGCAATACCATTATATATAATAAATATTGCATAGATAATTAAGTGTCTAATTGCAAAGATAATCAATCGGTACTTAAATTTAACAATCGGATTTTATATAGACATTGAAAAGAAAGAAAAATTGTGTAAAAGTATGTTAATTACCCAATTTTCAACATCTTCTTCATCTAATATTAACACTTTGTAAGGATGTACAGGGGTTTCCACAGCCTCTGAAGGAACGATACAGCCTTTTAGCCAACACTAATGCTTTATTCTTCGTCAGGATACGAGGGGGCACGTCCTCCTCTTACATAAGTACATCCTTAACTGACTCGCTCGCCTTCACTCTGTGCCGATCTCGAAAAGACTGTGTTGTCGTCTTATGACGCTATCGAACCTTTGCTCTCGCTCCCCCCTTTCCTCGTCACGCCCATTGGTCGGTCGATCTCTCACGATTCCGCCGATCGGTGATTGGGGGCTCGGTGGAAGTTCACGTATATTTAATTTGATTTGTATATACAATATATGTACTGAAATTGAATTGAATTTCCTTCGTATCGTTCCAAATCCTTTTCCGTTAATTAGTTTAAGTTACTTTCGCGTTTATTAAGGTATTTTAATGAGAAATATAGTGAATTTACTGATTTCAGATGTATAAGGTGGCGAATAAGTATGCATTTTAATTTCTTTCTATAAACTTGTGTACACATACATGTATACACATACATATATATATATTACAATGACCTATGGAATATTCTGAAAATGTTGATACGAGTCTGTCTTGTGTTATCCGAGTAGTTGGACAGGTTCTACGGATGGATTTCGAAATGAAACGCTTTCTTTTTCATAATACGTGCATATTTTATTATTAATATAACTGTAATATAAAAAAAAATATATATATAAAAAACTAAATATATGAATAGAAAAAAAATGACTTAGGTACTGCATCAATATAAAATGAAAATAAAAAATAATGACTTACGTACTACATATAAAATAAAAATAATAATGACTTACGTACTATATATAAAATAAAAAAATAAAGACTTACATACTACATCGATAACAAAAAAAAATGACTTACTATGCACGTTTACGTAAATATAAAACCTTAACACTAAGACAAGCATTTTTTTATGTAGGTCGCTCGCGTTGATTTTCTTTGGCCAGCCTGTAGGATATTATTATTTTCTCCAGTTCAAATCGCTGCAGATTCAACTGCAACAGCTGCCGTTTCGCCTCATAATATCCGGCTTCATCAACGACGGCGCCCTGCGACATAAGAGGACACAAAACGTTTCATTAATAATAAGTATGAATATGTAGTCTTATTAATTGTATGTGATATGATATGATGTATGTATGTATGAGTACTATATGTCATGTATGAAAAAGATTCTTGGTGGGAATATCTTACCTGTGTCGATCGAGACGACGATGCGGTGGCAGTGGCAGTGGTGGTGGCAGTGGTGGTGGCGGTGGCAGTGGCAGTGGTGGTGGCAGTGGTGGTGGCAGTGGTGGTGGCGGTGGCAATGGCAGTGGTGGTGGCGGTGGCAGTGGCAGTGGTGGTGGCAGTGGTGGTGGCGGTGGCAGTGGCAGTAGTGGTGGCAGTGGTGGTGGCGGTGGCTAAACATAGACGTAAATAACATGAATTATACCCAAAGAAATGTAAAAAAGAAATTACAGCTCATTGATAGTTATGAATTTGTGTATTTTCGCATTATAAGTACTATTATCTTATTTAAGCCACAAATACGTTAGACGAACACAATTGCGTACATACACTGAGAAAAATGACCGATTAAATATAATCGGATAATCCAATTACATAATAATAAACGGATATATCCAATTAAATTGTATATCCGATGAAAAATATGATCGGTTTTCCAAACAAATTTCATCGGTAACTGCATTTCATCGGATAAATTTCATCGGATGTATCCATAATTTAATCGGAACACGTAATCGGAAAAATTAACCATCGGAAACGCTATTTAATTGGTTTGTCCGATGGAAATTTTTCTCAGTATAAAAGTAAAAATTCGAGAATAGTCTTGAGGCAACTATTAAGGCGATTACTCAGGAGCCTTAAAAATAAATTCTTAACTAACAAATTTATTGATTATCATTATTTTTTACACGTCCACCCCAATCTTTAGCGTTTCCGAAAGCAGCAGACAATGAAACATGGAAGGCTTGTTCATTTATAGGTTTTCCGTTTGAATCGCAATGACAATTCATAATGACTTCTACAAAAGTACAAAGTAGTTTGTAAATTGTATAAACAAAAAATATTCTTTTAACACACAATAACTTATTACTTACTTTTAATAGGGAAATATGCTTTTTGATCTTTAAAAATATTCCCTTTATTAGTACTTTTTTTATTGCAGTAAACTGTGTTGCGAGTTCTCGAGTCATAATTTTTTTTAATATGTTAGTTATGCTCTTTGTTGGATTATTAGATATTTTATCTAAGCATAACTCAATTGTAGTAATCTTAAAAAATTAGTTAGTTTAAACATAAGGAAAAGAAAGTGTCAGTTTCATATAACTTACAAAAGAATCATTTATGGTTTTATCCATCTCGATCAAAATTTGAAAATGACCCCATGCGTCAAAGTCATTGAAGCGGATATCCAATTTATGTTGCTTCAAAGCTGCTTCCAATTTACCAATTTCGTATCCAAATAGTTTCTGTTTTATTAAATGTATTGCGACGATTATTCTCTTCTTTTCTCTTTTCCGCCCTCCCGTTATACGCGGACGGGCGGGTGTTGCCGTCCCGCTCTCGCTATCGCGCGCGGGTCTTAGGCGAAGGCGCGCCGACGACGGGGAGTGTGGTCGCCGGGCGCGAGAAGCGCGGGATGCGGACGGATCGAGTCGTCGGCAAAAACCAAGGGGGAAAGGATAACGCGCCGGAAAGGAGCGGGATCTCAGTAGCTCCGCGCGTACCGTGCCGCGAGCCGAAAACTCCACGCGAAAAACGAAGATTGGGCGCCAGACGCGGTCTTTCACGCGTCACGTCGCGAAATTCGCGAAATCGCACGAACGAGATGGAGCGGCCCTCGTCACGGGCAGGCTAGCTCGCCTAACGGTAGAGGGGCGGGGCGGTGGTTGACACTAAAAGATTCCAGAGGCTACGGGACTTAAGAAATTCACACGACGGACGAGACACACGAAGAGAGAGAGACGTACACGAAAAGAAACTCAGAAAAATAATATGAATAAAATCGGGTTTAATGTAATGCGGCGTTAACAAGCCGATTGAGTGGCCGTTATAACGGGCGGCGTCGCCAACGAAAATCTTACAAGCCCCGAGATCGGGGGGAACTGTAAGCTCTGGGGTATGAATTTACCTTGAGCCCGGTACCTGGGTGTGAACTGCCCGGGATTCTTGGTCACACGTGGCCGAAATAAAATATAGATCACTGGTGTTAAATGCAATACTTTTATTGTGGGTACAATTTAACGACTGGCACTTAATCGCACCTCGTCCGCGGAATACTCGCACTTGTATAACAATATCTCTATAATTCACTGTGACTCTCACGCTACGATTACAACTTGTTCGCACCGCTTCTCGAAAGAGAGTGCTCGCTTTTCTATCCGACGGCGCGCGTGCCGTTAGGAAATTCGGTGATCACGCGTCTAGCGCGTGTTACCGCGCCTTGGCAGCGAACGTTTCGCGCCTTTCCGTGAGCTTTACAGGGCCGTCCTGTATCAGGGCCGGCTCATCGTCTCGCGCCTTACAGCTCGGCCGTCCTGATATACAGCTTCGTCTCGAAGTTGCTGGCTTCTTCCCTTTTCAGGTAAGTATATATTTTTTTTTCCGCAACTTAACCTAACTTAATATTAACGCTTTATTTAACCTTTTTTAACATTGTATTCGCGACTTAACCTACTTAATATTAACGCTTTATTTAATCTTTTTTAACATTGTATTCGCGACTTAACCTAACTTGATATTAACGCTTTATTTAATCTTTTTTAACATTGTATTCGCAGCTTAACCTAACTTAATATTAACGCTTCGTTTAGGTCGTCGGTTTCGGTACCGGCTTCACCCACGGTTTGATCCGGTCCGGTGACATTATGGTGTTTAGTGGCCGGGGACCGTGGTTAAAGCCTGGTATGTCCTGCACGACGTATCTATGATTCGGGAGGACTTTCGCTATTTGGTAAGGCCCTTTATAGCTCGGTTTGAGCTTTGCGTTTTCTCCCGGCTTGATCCTGTCGTTTCTTACTCTGACGTAATCGCCCTCGTTGTATTCCGTAGGGCGTTTACTTTTCTTATCCTTGTATTTTTTATTATACTGTCTTATTAGTTCATTAGCCCTACATTTTTCTACCCACTTCCCTCCACCAAATGTAGATAGAAAAATGTATGCGTGAAGACAGTGTGTTCCGCCCCCCCTTCGGGGGGGG